AACCATCCCATGTCCCCTGCTATCTAGACCAACTACAGCTATTGATCTTCAGAACAAAATTCACAAGATTCTTCTTCCCCATCTGAAGTCCATGTTGACTCATATCTGATAATTAATTTTCAGCTGTTCATACACAAGACTGTTATAACTACAAATTGATTTCAGGGATTAGATGCCAAAATTCAACTGAATAAATTAAGGAATCATCAGAGCACAAAGCAAATATTGTCAGGAATCCTTTTGGTTCCTTTCTACATATGATTGTACTTTATTGGATACAGTGCAATAAACAGATTTGTTCATAGCAACATAAGTAGAGATTCACAAACATTCCATGGGCCAAAATCCTGTTGTCCATTTGGACTAGTGTAGAACAGTTGAAATTACTGATGTGATGACTCCTATTCAACAGTTTATTTGACGAGTCTACTCTATTTTATAGGCTCTTAAGAGTTGAAACAGATCAGAAAGGCCATCTTGTCCAACCCCTTGTTTGTAGAATACACAACTAAAGCACTCTACAGAGTACCTATCCAACTATTGTTTAAAGACTTACAACAATGAAAACACTACCAGCCTCCAAGGCCATCATTTCCTCATCTATTTGGGACTAGGATTCTAATATTCTGGGATGGTAGCTCTTATCCATCAGAACCTTCAATATAACGTTTTACTCACTGGGATTGCAGAAACAGCCTATGTACATTCCTCACTGTACAACACAATAAGCAGTCACACTGGCAAACACACAATCAGCAGCACAATGTTGACATACAGCAGAAGGGTGGTGTAGCACAACACTATCTACATAAGTACAGATTTATACTATGCAAACCCAATGGAGGATCTCATCGGCAGTATTCAGCTAGCTAATGTCAATGTATGACATGGACCCATCTACATGGGTCACATATCCCAAAGTGTGGGGAGACACTGCTCTATGGCATCCACATTTTGAATGGGGCCTTCTCATGCACACACCCCATGTGGGGTAAAGCCTTTTAATGCAGTTTTGCTTCACATTAGAAATAATCAGGGAATGCTGAAAGACTTTCCCAAATCTCCAGGGCACCTCTGCACTTTGGGGTGATTTGAATAGTTGGCCAAGTTCCAAAACACTGTTCAAACAAGCTAGTGCCACCATCCCACTTTCTCTACACTCTGAGGCAGGAGGAAAAGGTCATGGCACTTTACCTGTATCATTTTTTCATCACTGTAGCAGTGGCTACAATGCTCCAAAGAGCTCCTGCTCATCACTTGGCACATTTGTCAATGTCAGCAAAGGCATCCACTCATCTTAGAGAAAGGAAGGGATCCTCGTTTTCCTCCTAACTTCTCTCAGTTATGTGGGACAAGCAACAAAAACCAAAAAAGAACCCAACAGAAATCATAGTAGACATCCATTGAGGCCAAACCAGGTCCAGTGAGGCGGTCTAGACACCATCTCACCACTGCAGTGTCATGTAGCCTCTCCTGGGGCTGAACCAGAGTACTGTCATTCTATATCAGCTTCACATAAACTGGCCGTGTCAATAGGCCCTTAGAACTCTCTCCAGAGTTCTAATCAGAAAGCCCCGCGTAAAGTTGAGATTCCATTTGAACCAAAGATCCTGATTTAAAAGAAGACTTGAGCAATTTCCTAAGATGTTATCTCCAAGTCATGGATTCAGAAGCTGGCTAAGCCACTTTTAAAAGTGATAACCAAATATCTCTTGCAGCTAAGCAATGTTTTATCACAAGAAAAATAGAATTCACTAAGACTCCATCTAGACTGCCATATCATGCAATTTAACTGCATTATATGAGTCTACACTGCTATATAATGCAGTTCAATACAGTTAAACTAAATTATGAAACTGCATGATATGGCAGTGTAGATGAGGTCTAAAAGAAAATGGGAGATATACCTAATAGTTCATTTGGGGTCATGGTGGTTCACCCTATGGTGCTAAATCATAGTTTAGCTTTGTGTGGACTCATTGTGTGTTTCATGAGCAGAACTATAGTTATTCTTTATTGAAGCCTGAAATACAGCCAGTTCAGAAGCAACTGATACAGATATAAATAGGAAAAAGGGGGCGGTATATCCTGATAGTTTGTTTCACTTAACATGAATAAAACAATGACAGAGTACGCTTTATAATTAGTTACAGTGATTATGTAAAAGAGTATGGTAACTAATGTTCATATTTAGAAATTAGAGGCTTCAAAAAGGCAAAGCAAAACCCTTTGCACAGTTTTCTCATTAAAGCCAACTCTTTTCCTGCTCAGGAATATTTAAGACCTACATTGCTTTGTGATGGATTGCTGTTAATTAGTTTAACATTACTGGTGTTAATAAAATACACAAATACTCCTTTCAGAGCAGATGGTATCTGCAATTATACATCTTATCTGCAGCATTTGTGATGCTGTAGTCTTTTATATTCTTTGATATTATTTTGTTGAAGATGAGATTGTGTATATGGCAGAATACAATCAACATCCAAGTTTTCATTTCCGTATATTGCATCTCTGCAATACAGTCATATTTAAATTAATATGAGAAATGTATCCATTGTATTAGCATATCAATTTAGCAAAATATTTTAAAATAGCACTGGTAAACAGAAAAACAGATTCTGTTTAGTATGTAAACAAATGAAGTATGTACTTATTTGTGAACTCCAATTAAAACGGGGACATTTCTTATTGGATTGAAATTAAAAATACTGGCTGAGTTTGTAACCATTTGGCTGTTTCTTTAAATTCCGTAATTAACCTAAATTCAATATTATTTTAAGTGAGATACCTAAAAATGCTTCAGAATGACCACCATATGCCTTATACTGCTATCTAAACCAGTGCTTAGTAGCTACATTACTACATGAAAAAGGAAAAACCAAAACATTTCTGCAAAGAGGGATAATAGCTATGCTTTCAAGTGTAACACTGATGTTTCAGTACTAATCCTACAAACTACAAACACCACACAGGAGTTGCTATAAATCACTCTACATGTCATCTGCCATTCACATGAGGTACGTTTCATCATGATACCATGAACCATTCTTTTAGAGCAGATGTAAGGTGTCCAGTTCTTATGATGGCCCAATCCAAAAACCATTCATCATGTGAAAAAGATGTCATGCTGATAGATTTACAATTACTCCCTTGTGACAGCTGTAATATGGAAACCAATCTTGAGTTTTTATAAATCAATAACTTGGTGACAAAATTAATGCAAATGAATATTCATTGAAAAAATGTATACAGGGCAAAATGGGTATATGAGCTTATACTGTTCTAACACCATTCTATAAAGTTGTCACAGCACTTAATGTTGCACCTTTTCAGGTGGCAAAGAATACATGCACTAGCATTACTTCTTTATTTCCTGTATCCCATATTATCTAAAGCATATGTGTAAAACTCAAGGTCTAAGGGCCAAATCCAGCTCCCCATGTCATTTTGTAGGGTCCCCCAGTTGCTGGTTTACTCCTTGCTCCTGTATTCTTCATCATTAAACATTATGACCAGAGCTGATGGGAGTTGTGATACAGTAACATCTGGAAGTCTGTAGTTCAGTTAGGATAGTGGGGTTTAAATCTGGATACAAGGTTTGTGGATATGATGCCTGACTTTAACCTTTCCCCAACCTCAGAGCCAGAAGTGCTGTTGTATTGCAATTCCCATTATGTCCAGTCTGCATGGTGGACAGTCAAAAGTAATAGGAATTGTCATTCAAAAAGATCTGGAGATCCAAACTGGGTGAAAGCTAAACTGCAACAACCACTATGCAAAAAAATATAAAGTTGGCCCTCTGTATCTATGGATTATCTGTTAATGGATTTGAAGGCTACCATGAGGTTGACTGTGGCCACCGATGATAATGAGTTTGACATCCCTGGAATAACTATCAAGAGCAACTCATTCTGCCATTCTACCACCTCTACAATCAAGCTGGAATACTACACTTTTTCATGCAGCTGAATTGTAAGACAACAGAAGCAATCTTGCAAAAGAGCATAATGAACATATGAAATGAAGTAATGTTCCGGATTGACCAATTCATTTGGGGCCTGCAATAAAACTTAAGGTGAAAGAAAACTGGGAATAGGAGTTTATTAATATTGTTGCGCATATCCTAAACGCCACATTAATAACAGATATTATTATTAATAATAATAATAATAATAATAATAATTTCTTATCCTTCTCTCATCGTGATTCGAGGCGGGTTGCAACATTTTATCAAAATCATTCTGTACATACTTAGGTGTATCCAAAGCTACCTTCATTATGAAGGATGCTATGAAGTTGCCCAAGTCCCACTCGCACAGCTTTGAGAGACAGGTGGAGTAGTAGGATAGAGAAACTGTAAGAATGGTTTTGGGGTACTCTCAAAATGATTTAAATTTAACAGATATCCAGAGAACGTCATCTAATCACTTTGTATATGCTGCTTTGAGTAATCATTGCCTTTTAAAGACATAAAATCATCCAGTGGCTGGGAAAACCGCATTTCTAGCATCAATTTTCATGGAATTCAGTCCACTTTATTCCAATGCATTGACTAGACTACCATTTTTGACTTTATTTCACATTGGGAGAAGAAAATGTTCAATAGGGGCAGAACACTGAAATTAAATGCAGATTACTGGATGTAAAGACAATCGGTGTTTTGGATGCATGTCTAAAAGCTAGACTGAAATTCAGTTGAATTTTATGGAAGATTAACTGAATTTCAGTCTAACTTTTCATTCATGAAATCAGTGTTGCCCTTGTTGTCCTACAGCCAAGAACTATTCTCCTTAATTCTTAAAAAAAAAGAAAGAAAACCAGTGAACTAAAACAAATGCTGTAAGGACATTTTGGATTACTTTTCGTACTTAAATAAACCCATGTGCATCATTCATATTGTGCCAATGTTATCAGTATAATCTATGTTTTAAATAGATGGGCAATATTCAAAGAAAGAAAGACGTATTTTCCCACAACATCGTTCATTGAATACTCACATTTCTTCTGGATCTCCTGTTCTCCCAATTTTTTTTCTTCAAGAAGACTCTGTTCCCTTTTGCTTGCAACAGTTCTTCCTTTAAAACTCACTTGGCTTTCAAAAAGTTAGATAATGAGGTTGCTTCAAACAAAGTGAGCTCTACCTGCATGAGAAAGGACAGAAAAAAATGAACTGTTTTAAGAACATTCTTATAAACGTCCTCCACTACTTTTCATTTGTTACAGAAAATTATATTTATATACTACTCAGCACATTAAGCGGGGGAGGGGGGTATATATATCACTATACTTACAGTAAATATTAAGCAATGACCTATAGACATTGAATTGAAAACAAATAATACACCCAAAAAGGCAAATTTGCTCTGTTGTGAAAAGTATTTATAAACAAAATTTAAATGTAACAGAGTTACATTTCTAACACTAAATGTGCTTCCCCCCTAAGATTTTAATTCCTGTTCTAACTTGAAAGCTTTATAATAGAATTGCATCTCAACAACTTTAGTTACCTGGGAAACGTGTATTATAATGCTTAGAATGTTCTTGGATTCAGAACATAGAAAAGAAGAATACACCTGGAAGTTCTAAAACAGAAAATGGCATATTGTACCAGGAATACCTCAAATATTGTTTACTATCTGCTCCATTCCTTTTAGCTACTCCTCATCCATGATATTTGATCCATCCAGCTGTGTCCTGGACAGAATAAGATGCCAGAGTTGAGTAACTAATATAATTCTCTCTCCACCAATGAACTACAAAATGCAGTCAACCTTTCTAAAACGTCATTCATTCAAGTGCATTCCAAGCTTTTCCTATGATTAACAACCTCTAAATTTTCTTTGAAATAAATCAAAACACACACAAATTAAACATTAATAAATAAAAGACATAATCACCCTATTATCAAGTGGAGAACACTAAATGCACAGAAGATTTCTTTTTAAAGTTTGTTTTCTTTGTTTAGGGGCCCCGCGGTGGCACAGCAGGTTAAACCACTGAGCTGCTGAACTTGCTGACTGAATGGTTGGTGGTTCGAATCTGGGGAGCAGGGTGAGCTCCTGCTGTTAGCCCCAGCTTCTGCCAACCTAGCAGTTCAAAAACATGCAAATGTGAGTAGATCAATAGGTACCACTCCTGGGGGAAGGTAATGGTGCTCCATGCAGTCTTGCCAGCCACATAACCTTGGAGACATCTATGGACAATGCCAGCTCTTCATCTTAGAAATGGACATGAGCACCACCCTCCAGAGTCAGACATGACTTGACTTAATGTCAGGGGAAACCTTTACCTTTTTTCTTTGCTTGTTTTATGTGCATTTGGGACAGAAAATCTGCTGTGGGAAAGAAATGGGCATATGAAACACTGGTGTTGAGCACCTTTTAGAAAACCAAATTACTTTTAGAGGAAGAGCAGTTACCAGACAATTTAGGCTTATTATTAACTGATATCAAGTCATCTTAGACTTACGCCAGTCCTGTGAATGAAAAACCACCAAGAACTTTCACTGAGAATGTATCTTCTACACAGTAGAATTAATACTGTTTGACACCACTTTGACAAGGCTCCAGAATCCAGGGAGTTGAAGTTTGGTGAGGAACCTCCACTCTCTGGCAGAGAAGGCTTAAGACCGTATAAAAAGCACATGCCACATGATTCCATAGCACTGAGCCATGACAGTTAAAGTGGTGTCAAACTTCATTAAATCTACAGTGTAGATGAACTCCAAGCCTGTAATGTAGTCTTTCTCTTTTCTCATACAGCCTTATTTTTACCATACATTATCATTTTTTCTCCAATGAGTCATGAAGTCTCATGATATATCAAAAGTCATAATGATTCAGTTTAATCATTTTAGCTTCTTGGGAGAGCTCAAGCTTAATTTGCTGACAAACCTGTTTATTGTTTGACTGCATACATGCTCGCTCATTTGTTTGCTTGTTTTTAAAATCTCCATGCTGCAGAACTGTAGCACATTTCAAATGAGCTGGTCTTCTTCTGCCAGCCTTTTGCAGTGTCAAACTTTCACCACCATCACGTAGATTTTTCTGACTTTGGGATGTAATAAGATGCTGTTTGGACTGCAGTGTCCCTGTGGTTTCTTCCAACTATGATTCTTTAATATGTTTTTATGTTTGAGGGCTTTATCTACAGGGACCTCTAGTAATTCCTTCAATTTTTCGTGGTCTTTTTTGTCTCTACTAGTCTCTATTTTGAAAAATGACTGAGCCAAGTTATAGAACATCTTTAAACTAACTTTTTTGATGTTTTTATCTAGTACTTTCAAGGTATTCGAAACCCTAATTAACATTTCTGTTAATGACAGCCAAGTTAATCTGTGTTATACACGCAATACACAAAGGAAGCATGTTCAGGCCCCTTCCACACTTCCATATAAAATCCAGATTATCTGCTTTGAAATGGATTATATGGCAGTGTAGACTCATATAATCCAGTTCAAAGCAGAAATGGGGATTATCTGCTTTGATAAATCTGGATTATCTTGCAGTGTAGAAGGGGCCGCAGATGTTCTCAAATATCTGAAAAGTACTCTTGCAAGTCAGGCTCCTTCTACACTGCAGATGATCCACATTATCTGCTTTGAACTGGATTATATGAGTCCCTTTCTACATTGCCATATAAAATCCAGATTATCTGTTTTAAACTGGATTATATGGCAGTGTAGAAGGGGCCTGGATCTACATTGCTATATAAGCCAGTTCAGATAATCTGGATTTTTTAAATTTTATTTTATATCAAAAACATTGCAGACATAAGTATAACACTGATAAAAATAGAAGGAGCACATCCGGCTAGATAATTTTTGACCAAGACTGGGCAACAGTGACCACACTGTCTGTGTTGTTGTTCATTCATTCAGTCGTCTCAGACTCTTCGTGACCTCATGGACCAGCCCACGCCAGAGCTCCCTGTCGGCCGTCACCACCCCCAGCTCCTTCATGGTCAGTCCAGTCACTTCAAGGATGCCATCCATCCATCTTGCCCTTGGTCGGCCCCTCTTCCTTTTGCCTTCCACTTTCCCCAGCATAATTGTCTTCTCTAGGCTTTGCTGTCTCCTCATAATGTGGCCAAAGTACTTCAACTTTGTCTCTAGTATCCTTCCCTCCAATGAGCAGGCTTTATTTCCTGGAGGATGGACTGGTTGGATCTTCTCACAGTCCAAGGCACTCTCAGAACTTTCCTCCAACACCACAGCTCAAAAGCATCTATCTTCCTTCGCTCAGCCTTCCCTAAGGTCCAGCTCTCACATCCGTAGGTGACTACAGGGAATACCATGGCTTTGACTATGCGAATCTTTGTTGCCAGTCTGATGTCTCTACTCTTTACTATTTTATCGAGACTGGACATTGCTCTCCTCCCAAGAAGTAAGTGTCTTCTGATTGTTTGTTCTGCTCCACAGACACACAAGGTGGAGGATTATTTTAGGTAGTTTCATTTTGCCAGATTGTCTTTTGATCTGCCAACTCCTTCTTCTGAGTCTGTTCAGGGACTTCCAAGTTCATCATTCTCCGTTTGCCCCTGGAGGGATTTCCTGGTTTAGCTGCCCAGAGGGACACTCTTGCTGTTGCTCGGACAACATTAAGAGGAGTGGTGGTTCTCATAAAGCTTTTCCTTGATTGGAGTCTACTGGGAGAAGGCTGATAGCCATGCAGTCGATGGATTTTTATGGCAGTGTAGAAGGAGCCTCAGAAAGCAGTATATTAGTTTTTCAAACTAACTATACACTGACTAACTACATTATGGGCATTTGAACTATTAGTGTAATTAAATGCAGTTAATTTCACTACAGAGAATCTAAAATGTCACACAATTAAGGCCTATGAACTTTCTGAAGCTACTATAGGTAAAGTATTCTAATCCTAATCAATTACCCCCACTCTAAGCTACCAGAGGCCCCTTCTACACTGCCATATAATCCAATTCAAAGCAGACAATCTGGATTTTTATGGTAATGTATGAGGAGTATGAGCTGCAAAGTTGGCATAACTTTTAACATGATTGCCCTCAATTGGGGACTGGAGATTAGTATGAGGCACTCATCTAAACTGAAGCATCATATAAACATACATTCGAGAAAGCAAGGGTCTACTCTACCTGACTGTATTGTCCATATCCACAACAAAAGCTTTCTGCTCTCCTTTTTTCAAATTGCATGGAAGAGAATGGTCTTCATGCAGGTCTGTAGCTCAACATCTCTATGCTATTGGATTACAAGCAGAAATTCAGAGCTGGTACTCGCCATAGCTATCACACTGACAGTGTAATCCTCCACTCATGTTGTTCTTGAAGGAAGTAAAGAGCAATCTAATTCCTTCATCTGTCATTGCTATGAAGACATCTCTGAAAATTATAGTTCAGGACCTATTTGTTGCTAACGTCATATGTGCACATAAAATAATATTTTCTGCAGTGGGGAACCTAGTCTATACAAAACAGTGCTTTCTGCTCAAAAAACAGCACCTTCCCCATAGGAAATAATAATTCAGTGCAGAAGATTATGTTTGCTAGACACAATCCCCATATGAATTTTGTTCAGAATAAAGATCTGAATTGTAAAGATTCTTTTCAGCTCAAGATTCTCACCAGTTTTCTGACATTTGATGGGAAAAGATTTTTTGACCATTTAAAAATATTTCAAATAATTTTCCCCATTCACATATCACATAAATCTTTTCTCACAAGCAACCAATTTATTTTGTTAAAAGTTAGTGATATCAAAGTCCCCATGAGTCCCTCAATGAGGGAGAGAGGCAGGATATAAAACAAAGTAAATAAAAGTCTCTTCTAAGGTGATTTTATATTAGTCCAAGACTGTTGGCATCTTCTCTTTCTGTAGAGCAATATGTATTACAGGTAACTTGTCCAAGTAGAATCCACTTTAGTAGAAATCACATTCTTCATCTTTCCTTAACTAGTCTAGCCATAACAGAAATCACTCAAAATGCAGGCAACTTAATTCAAATAAATGAAACAAATGGGGGGGGGGGGGAACAAAAGAGAAAGAAATGACCTCTAAACAGATCTTCATTCTTTAAACTTAAGATCATTTGCCTGCAAAGACTTACATCCAGAACAAATGGATATATTCCTTACCAATTTCATTTCTTGCATTTTCTAGCCT